AGATAACATTTAAAAAAAAAGGTTAATTAAAAGAATACCATGCATGATTACAAAAATAATCATAGTACAATAAGTTAAATAGAAAACACCATTTTATATAAAATATTCCTAGAACCACCAAAGGTTCAAGATCCGTTATTGTGCTTAACTGGTTCTTCTCTGTTTGTGGTGTGTGGTCACGTTCTAGTCACTTTGCTCAGCGCTACTTCTTGTTACAACTTTTATTTGCCGTACTCGCCATTAACTGTTATTGCTCAGGTTAATCTCGCCCCCCTCCAACGTAAGCGTGAAGTATTGGTTCTTGCCGGGCAGCCGAGTGGGGCCAGCTAAGAACCGGGTTTCGGTACTGAGAGCCGGCTCCGCTGCGGTGGAAACAGGAAGAACCAGAGCTAAATCAGGCTCTAGCCCAGAACCACGCTGAGCGGGAAGCCAGTTGCAATATTAGATTATAACAAATAGACATTGAAATGGTTAAAACGTAGCAGCACTACAGCAGGGAACATGGACAACGGAGAAAAAAAGAAAGCCAAAATTGAGCAAACAAAATACCGTCAATATCAGGAGGCGTATGCTTTGATGGGATTCACGTCAACACCCGCCCCAGGCATTGTGTTTTTTCTGTTGGGAGAAACTAGCCAACAGCTCGATGAAACCAGCGCACCTCCAGAGACATCTCAGCACCAAACACCTTTGTCATGTTGGTAGGCCAGCGGAGTTTTTCAAGTACAAAAAAACTAGTACAGATCCTCGCAAGAGATGATCAAATCAAATCAAATCAGGTTTTATTTATAAAGCACATTTAAAAGCGATTTTTGGTCGAGCCAAAGTGCTGTACATGTAATAAAAACACATTACTACAAAACACAATAAACGACAATAAATTACAACAGATATAACTTATGATGCGAAAAGCCTCCACAGCATCAGCCAAAGCACTGGAGGCATCGCGGTGTCACTGCTCATCGCTAAAGCACTGGAGGCATCATATGCGGTGTCACTGCTCATCACTAAAGCACTGGAGGCATCGCGTTGTCACTGCTCATCGCTAAAGCACTGGAGGCATCGTATGCGGTGTCACTGCTCATCGCTAAAGCACTGGAGGCATCGCGGTGTCACTGCTCATCGCTAAAGCACTGGAGGCATCGCGGTGTCACTGCTCATCGCTAAAGCACTGGAGGCATCGTATGCGGTGTCACTGCTCATCGCTAAAGCACTGGAGGCATCGTATGCGGTGTCACTGCTCATCGCTAAAGCACTGGAGGCATCGCGGTGTCACTGCTCATCGCTAAAGCACTGGAGGCATCGCGGTGTCACTGCTCATCGCTAAAGCACTGGAGGCATCGTATGCGGTGTCACTGCTCATCACTAAAGCACTGGAGGCATCGTATGCGGTGTCACTGCTCATCGCTAAAGCACTGGAGGCATCGTATGCGGTGTCACTGCTCATCGCTAAAGCACTGGAGGCATCGCGGTGTCACTGCTCATCGCTAAAGCCAAAAAGTCGTACACGATCGCTGAGGACCTAAAACTCCTAAATAGTGTCATTGCAGTGTTATTACATAGTTTGTTTATAATTGCACATTTTTTTCAGCTACGTGTTTTTTTTTAACCCTTTCATGCATTGTGGTCACTACATTAGATACTAATTAAATGCTTTTTGCTTCATGCATGGGGTTTTGCATGGTATAGTTGCACATCAGGCACCACAGTGGATTTTATTATAATATTTGTGTATTGTATTTTATAGTTTTTGCATAATATATCATTTTGTTCATTGGCTTGTTAAACATATATTACTTAAAAATCTGTTTTTTTAAATATCTCATGCATGAAGATGAAAATATCCTTAGTTTGTTGTAATTCATGCATGAAGGAGTTAATAAATCACACACTGATGGAACATCACTATATTGTAATTATTTATATAGGCCTTTTCTATCAAACATGTTCGGGGTCGGTCAGGGGGTACTTGGCTGAGAAAATGTTTCAAAGGGGGTACATTACTGAGAAAAGTTTGAGAAGCACTGATCTAGAAGATTTGCGTGGCCAAAAATAACCAGGGCTGACATTTTAAAATAATTTGCTGACACACAAGAGACACACTTAATATGGGTGTTATTCAAATTACATTTATAAAAAAGATAAAATGACACTGTGCTAAACATGAAGACTATCATAGCTTGCAGAACCACCACTTATTCCTTGAAACGTATTACGTTTACATTCCAACCCCTGATATCGCACATTTAGGTAGGAATCTACCTCTATCTTTGTGAGACTATTAACCTTTCATGTCTGACTTCTCTGCAGTAGGCGACTAGGTGTTCACTGTGGCTGTTATGTAGTTTTGTGCATAGCCAAATACATCTTTAAAGTCTGTTTCCCATATCTCCACACTCAAAACTTTCATCTGTCCTGTGCTGGCATATACCATGTTAGAGCCATCCCTGTGTTTAACTCTGAATGAATCGAAGACTTAGGAATCCTTGTTTCCAAACTCCAGTGACAAATTTACCAAACCTGAGTTGAGTTTGTTCCCTAACAGCTCATCCCGTATAAATGGCGAAACACCGGAGATGGTAAACCACGTGGATGGCACTGAAAGCGGTGTGACGGCAATATTCCCATTGAATAAGGGGATGAAACCCTCTTTAACCCTCTGAGACCCCACATAGGACATAACTTCCTTGCCATACCTCAGTTTACTTTCAAAACACTAAAAGAACGTATTCCAACTTTCAAAAAATGTTCGAGCATGGAATTATACCGGCTCTCGTTTCAGTACACAAAACAACGGAACTGACTGAATCATGAACACCACTTTGTTTAATCTCGAGGCAAACAACACACTGTCAAGTCCTACCGGCTCACTGACAGCCAGTGGCGGCTCCGGGGTATGTCTGGGGTAGGCTACAGCCATACCAAGAAATGGCTTAGCCCCACCTTAGCCCCACTATGAAAAATGATGTTAAAGTAAGCAAAAAGAAGTCCGCCAACTCGCGCCGAGTAAATTGCACAGACAGAAGCTAGTAAGATTGATTTCAGTAGCCACTTGTCTGGAAATGCCGAAGACTAGAAACGGATTTGAAAACTTTTGTCACGTAGTGATCGTCTTCTCAATAAAAACATCTTTGCTAATGTCTTCTGGCCAATCAGAATCACGATAACGGCGTGGTGTTGTTGCAGGAAGTCCCGACGGAGAATAATTTTGCGGTGGAACTACTCTTTATACATCCATGGATACAACATTATGTGTTGATATAAATCAACACGTAATGAAATAAGACCCCACGGTTTGATGATTGATAGGTGTGTGGGCTGTCTTTCATTTTGACACACAGAACAATGGGGGCTATCCACCCTTATCCACAATGTAAAGTAATTCACACAGCCTCGTTCCTCTTCTCTCTGTGAGGAGCAGCAGGTTCAGCTTTCAGAACAAAGTAACAAAAATGGCATTAATTTTTTTAAATATGTCGTGTAGTAATAGATTTATTTATTTTCTTCTCAAGAGAGTACCAGAATTTGTATTTTATGTTAGTATTTCAAAAAATCTCCTGCAGGGGTTGGGTTTTCAGCATGTCAACTCTTTCACCTGTGGGGAAATTGCAGGATTGGCTCCAGGTCGCCCTTTTTCTTACTACTAAGACAAATGTGCCTTTTTATTTCATACAGTTCAATTTTGATTGAGACAGGGAAATAATCTAAACCTCACGCGTGGCATTTCACTGTCAAGGGGCGCGATATAGCGTGTATGTAATTACATTGCAAATACTGACTTGAGCCCCACCACTGTATGGGTTAGCCCTACCATAGATTACCCAACAAAAATACTCTGGAGCCGCCACTGCTGACAGCCAGCAGAATCTCCTCCACAGCAACACTGTTATCCTGCGGGACTACGGGAAAAGAGAGAATAATAAAACAGGAGAGCAGAGAAAAAAAGGGGAGGGACGATAAGAGAAAAGAAAAAGAAGAAAGAGGAGAGGAGAAAAGTAAAGAAAATAAAAAGAGAAAAGGAGAAAAAGAGAAGAATGGGCAGAGCGTTCTCTTGGTTGCCATGTGGCGGTGGAAAGCATGAGTCTGTCTGCTCTGCGTCTGGAACTCATTTTAAATGTGAGACTATAGGGACTGCTCCAAAGACAGATGATAGTCAGGAGATAGGAAATCACTGTTTTGACTTGCCACCAAGCTATTTTCAGCCCTCTTTGCAAAAACTGTGCAGATTGCAAATGTCAAGCAACAGAGGGATTTGTTCTATAAATATTAACATTGGATTACCATTTGCACAGGATCACAGAGCTTGTGCATTTTCTTTCCTTTTGATTTACTGAAATGAAAGGAAACAAGTAGTGATGACTGTCCACAAATACTTTTAAATTAAACATTTTGCATAAACAGCCTCATAATAAAATGGTTAATATCACATGGCTATTCTGCAGAACTTTTGCTTTATATTTTGCTTATCGTGATTTGAACGAATACGTGTTAATTGCAGATGGGCACATTAACCTTGTTAAAGCCTAAAGGTAATTGAATAGTAAAGGATTTTTAAACTTCTTCAACCGAATAGACATTTGTATAATCCTGTACAGCAAAACTGTATCACATATATTTGTATACTCTTTTTTGACTTGGGTAGTTCTCAGAAAGTAAAACAAATGAAAAAACGTGTTGCTTTCTTTTTGGGAACTTAATTTGTCACTAATGTTTTTATTGTCATCATGCCTCTTGCACACACAATTATACCCTTAATTTGTAAAATGCATAAGTCTGGTATGATCTTTTCAAATTAGCTAAACACATACAGATGTGTTGTCCCTGGTTATATTATATAGGCTTAAATAACACTGAGGAAATACATGCACGTTTCACTGCTTTACACTGCTTAGGTTAGCAGAGCCATATCTGAGCTCTGCTTACTCAGCACTTCGCTCAGTGTCTCGGCTTGTTTCATGCTGCACGGCTGAAGGGGAAACGTTAGTCTGAAACAGGCTTACCATGGTTCCTAAGCCCGGCCGAGGGCATTCCACTTCAGCCTCTTCAGGTAGGTTTAACGCCAACACATCCCGTGGAGCGGAGCCCGGGGACCCCCGACAGTCACTGGTCCTGAAGTTGTAGCCGCGCGTAAGTCACTCAACTACTTTATTTTTGGGGAAATATTTCCACAGGTGTCTAAGCAAAAAGGTCCTCAGCTGCACAGGTAACATCAGCGTACTGTCATTATCTTTGCTGCAGATTTAAGTTTGATGAGCAGGCTGTCGCGAGCCCAGCCTCCCTCCCGCGGGAACCCGCTCCTCCACGCGACCGTCTGGGAAAGTGATTTCAAAATAAAAGCCACTGTGTTTACGGAGGGACGTAGTGAAATATGAGAAGTCTTCCCCCTCCACATCATAGCGTCCTCACAGCTGCAAGAAAACTTAAGGAAGACCTGACAAAGGAAAGACTCTCTCGAAACGTTGAGGGACAGACAGACAGACAGACAGACAGACAGACAGACAGACATGACAGAAAAATAGATGGACAGATAAAAAGATAGGCTATATGGCTGGAAAGACGAATGGACAGTGGTGGACTGTAACTAATGTACTGTACTTAAGTACAATTTTGAGGTAGCCTACTTTTACTTCACTTGAGTATTTTCATATTATGGTACTTTATTATTTTACTTTACTAGATTTTGGAGGCATGTTTTTACTTCACTCCACTACATTTATTTACAAATGTATTTACTAGCTACTTTGCAGGTATGGATTTATAATACAGAATATAAATCAACTAATAAATCATAATGTATTAACAAAGGTTTAAAAGCTACCCAGCAGTATATCTATCAGTGGCGGCTGGTGCATTTTTCTTCAGGGGGGGCTCTACCAAAATGTAAGCAAACCAGCGACGTGCAGTCAGGGGAGGCAGAGCCTCACCTGTCATACTCCAATGTAACAGAAAAACAACTAAAGAAAAACTAAATAGTAATAATAATAAAATGTCTCCACTGATCTGTGTTGTAAGTGTGATTTCTGTATGATTCCAATCGCTTTTTATTGTCAAAATCAGCAAATTGGCCGAGCTCCGCTACAACTACATGGGAGCGATGAGGAGTGAGGCAGGGACGAGCTCTGCCTCACGTAAGCCCACAGCAGCGCCATATAGAGAGAGAGTTATGACAACGGAAGTCCAAAATGCTTGATCGTCACGTGGTTCAGAGAGAATCAATAGTTCCCCGGACAGTTCGTGGCGGGACATTTAAATGCATGATTACCGGAGATAGAACTACGATTTTTGGTAATAAGTAGTGAATAAAGGTTTTGATTTGCAATATTTATACAACATACCGATATGTGTATGTATTTACATCAATATGTTTTAAAAATAAAATAGAATCTGCTAATATTTATGGGTAATATTAGGAATAGTGTGAACAGCTAGTTTACTAACATATACATGTTAGGCTAACGTTGCCTTGGTTAAAGAGCCTGTTGCTGTTGTGTATTGCTTTGAATTATTTAAAACAAATATTATCTTCTTAAACAGGTATGGTAGTCAGGAGCATCACTTCCTAATGTTTATTGATATATTTAGAGGGAGGGGATGGCAAGGAATGCTTCAAAATTTAGATTAGATTAATTTCTACCATTTTTTAAATTCATGGTGGTTTCAGTAATCCCATGGTACTTGAGGACATAAGTAATCTAAATGATTAATGTAATCTTTATGATTTTCAGAAAGGACAGGAGACCAACAGGTGACTATCAAAGGACTAGCAGCAGCATGATTATGACGTTAAATGTGTTGTTTTAGGAACATCCATTGTAAATACATGGAATTCAATAAACATTGAATACAGTAGCATGTCATGCAGTTTGTCTGTGCCTTTTCCTCTGTGTTGTCCTGGCATATCGTCTCCACCATGGTTTGCTGTGCTGCCTGGGGATGCTCCAATCGTTCCGAAAAAGGAGTAAGAATCAGAATGTACGGCTTCCCCACTGACACAGACAGGAGGAAAAAATGGCTGGCTCAAGTCAGCAGGAGCAATTTAACAATCAAAACAGACAACCGCAACAAAATATGTGAGGTAATCATATTTTTCACAAAACGAAGACCACACCATTGGGAAGCTTAATGTCTGTTTAATAAAAATAAGGAATAGGGAGAGGCTTGCAAAACTCTGGGAGTTGAGACTCAGGTGCAGGGTGAGGGTCTCAATAGCCGCGTTCACACCGGAGTACTTTTCACCGTACTTTTCGCGTTTAGTTCCGTTAGTACCCCTTATGTCGCGTTCACACCAAAAAGAGTACTTAATCTCGGGAACTTTTACCCCCATTTTTAGTGCCTGCTGATGCTACTGAAGGCAGTACCCAACTCCAAGATGTTCGATCGTTGTTCGAAAAAGTTACTTGAGCTGGGAATCGTGCACAGCGCCACGGCATGCTGGCTAAAAATAAAGAAACTCCGGCAGGACTACAACAAAAATTAAAGACTATAATAACAAGAGTGGTAACGACCGGAAGACCAGTAAATGGTACGAGCGCTTGGATGCTCTGCTAGGCCACAGACCTTCATTCTCCGGGACAGCATCGACCTTTGATTCGGGCACGATGGTGTGGGAGGCCGCTCAAACGGCGGATTCAGAGGCCGACGACCACGACGAAGGTAAAATCAACTACATGCACTGGGGTTTTAATCTGCACAATAATGTTCTCAGATGTACTTTTATTTGCTCAGTAGATCGAGCTAGCCATGCTAGGCTGAACCGCCCCGAGCTGGCTAAGAACATCTAGCTAGCTAGATATTCTCGGCCGCTATGAAAACGTATTGACTTGTGAATAACTGTGCAGTGTTCATGGCACTAATCGTGTGTTTCAGGCGAGGATGGACAACTCTCGGGATTGGAAACAAGCGAGCTTTGCCTTCAAGATCACAGCGCTTGCTCGTGCCCCTTACCAGCAACCAAACGCAAAGGTACACACACTGTAACTTTGTATTGAAAGAACGTTACGCATCGAACTGATGTTCACAATCATGTTTATTTCCTTCTTGGTACAATTATGAAACAGTGTGAAAACGTATTCGCCTAGACCGGCATTTACACATTTTCGCGCCTTTTTACTCTCTCACAAACATTGTAAACATCCGGGCTAGAGGTCACATGACTTCCGGTTAGAAAACTTGCCTCAACAACATTAAACAAAGTTCAAGCAGTGGCGAGCCGTCAGGGCCCTCTAGGCCCTCTGTGAGGGCCTAAGATATTCCAAAAAATAATATTTAAAAACATTTAAAAAAATAATATTTTTTTTAAATATATATTTTTTTAATATTATTTTTGTTATATTTTTCATTAGTTTTACCGAAAAAAAACTTGATTTAATTGTATTTAAAATAACATTTCCAAAGAAATAAATCCTTCGAATCTGCCTGTTCATTCTCTGTTTGAATGTAGGGGTTACATGAAAGAAGCTGTCTGGCCCTCTCTGCGATTCACAGAGGGCCCGCTATAGTAACTGAACGAGAGAGTAATGTCAAATGACAGTACAATTGACCAATCATATCTTCCCTCTAAATGGGTGGGTTTTATTATCGCGGACATTATGACAAGTTCCGCCCGCTGTGAAACTTTTCTTGTTTCCATAGCAACAACAACTTCCTGTCAACAGCGTGAACTCGCCTTCAAAATAAAAGCATGCCAAATTACACTTAAGACATACAACTGCAAGGAAAGTAACAAACACAATGCAATATCATTTTCAATGTCAAAGAACACAAATTGGGTTTATAGGTGTTGTTTTGTGTGGTAGAGGGTCGCTGTCATTGATGCGTTTTGCACCCTGGGCCGTTGTTTTGATATTCCGCTGAAGTATACGCTGTGACGTAATAACTATTTTTTTTTCTTTTTTCGAGGGAAGGGGTGGGGGTCAGAGGGCCTAGGTATAAAGCTCACGGCTCGCCACTGAGTTCAAGCATACATGAAGCACTCTTCAAAAATACAAAACAATAAAGAAGGGCACTTTGAGCGGCAGCTACACACACACACACAATGTGTGTATATATATATATATATATATTTTATGCTATTTGATCCTATATTACCTTCTACTATACACCTCCTTTGTGTACACTCAGTGTGTGTGTATATATATATATATATTTTATGCTATTTGATCCTATATTATCTTCTACTATACACCTCCATTGTGTACACTGTCTTGTCCCGGCCTGCACCTTGTCCAATGTTGACTAGTAAACACATTCCTAGTATGTTGTAAAACTACATGGCGACTAAACAGATCTTGTATCTTGCTTATTTTCCCCTCTTAGGAAAGCGGGCACGGGATGCGAATTTCTTTGACACAGTCCAGGCGTTGGAGGACCGGCGTGCCGTGGTGAAAGAGTCGATGCACGGGGATCAGATGGTGCTGTTCACCAATGCAATAAAGAAAACCTACATGGCGATTAAACCGATCCTGTATCTTGCTTATTTCTCCTGACACTTTATCTTTAGTGACCTGTGTAGCATCCTATACATCACATATAAGTGATTATTCTGATACCATCATGTTTCATCGGTTATAAACTGGCGAAGCTTTATTTGTCATTTATTTATCATCAATGTTGCAACCTTGTGGGGGAATGGCAGGGGCACATACACAAATATGATAATTTATATCATTTTAAATATTATTTGACCTAAACTTTTAATTCCCCCCCATTTTACACAACACAAAATGGAGTCCACTATGGGCCAAAACTAACATGTATGTTTCCATAGTGTTTATGGCAGACGGATGCAGTGGGTCTCAGGAAGATATATATATATAATTAAGGTGGGTTTGCTGCTGAGCCTATCCCTACACCTGGGACAGTTAATTTTGTATAGTTTTTATTAATACTGACACACGACACACAACTTTGCACTAAGGTGTGTATGCTGCTGAGCCTATCCCTACACCTGGGACAGTTTATTTTATATTATTATTACTGTTATTATATAGTACAATTGACACTTTATTTTATATTGACAATGTTTACTGACATGTACAACCTCTATTTTATTTACATTTAAAATTGTTCTATTTACTGTTATGTCTTGAGAGTGCAATAAAGAGAACCTATATGGCGATTAAACAGATCCTGTATCTTGCTTATTTCTCCTGACACTTTATCTTTAGTGACCTGTGTAGCATCCTATACATCACATATAAGTGATTATTCTGATACCATCATGTTTCATCGGTTATAAACTGGCGAAGCTTTATTTGTCATTTATCATCAATGTTGCAACCTTGTGGGGGAA